GTATTTTAGTTAAGATTAATAAGATGTTTGGTTATGTTTCATATGTGGTGGTCTTTAAATTTAATCATGTATGACTTATATTTTTTTGGTTTTAAACTTGTGACTAAAAAAGTATAAAATTATATAATTTTCTTTGTTTTAAATGAATAATTTTATATATATCAAAATGAAACTTTCAATATTACAATCATTAAATTATGGGTTGGTTTGGCATAAACTAAATAATACAAAAAGTCAAAAAGTCACTATCTTATTTAAGTCACATCATCTTATTTAAATCACATCACCTCTCTAACACATCACATCAAACCCAATCCATATAAGTCAAAAAGTACACTTTTTTAGAACATCCCAAACCAACCCTAAATATATAACATTTATTGAATAAATAATTTTTATTTCAAAATGAAATAAAATATTACAGAAATTTATATCATTAAATAAAATACATGTAAATTATTGATAATGATAAAGCAATTGCATCATTATAGGTCAAGTACATCACAACTAGATTGTCACCTACTAACATACCAATCATTTTCATTATACTCCACCTCAATAATTTAATACAAAAAAATAACGAAATGAAATAGTGAAAAACAAATTATTAATCAATCATTGGAGGAGGCACGCAATTCACTCGCATTGCCTGAGGATATGTCATCCAAATTGTTTTGAATTCTTTTATTTTCATTATAATTTTGTCTTTCTCGTAAGCGCATGCATATGATCTCTATAGATATTATCAGTGCCTCAACAATTTGATGCGAAAGCTTGCTACGGTAATCGCTTAGTACCCGTCCACCTGCACTAAAAGCTGTTTCTGAAGCAGTTGTAGAAATATGAACGGTTAGTATATCATGGGTCATTTGTGAAACCATGAGCCAGATAGTCTCATTTTGTTTCCACCAATTTATAATGTCAAAATCATCAAATCATCCACTAATGGACTTTCCAAATAACTTTATAGTTCAGAACTACTTACGCTTGTATATTAAGATATTCTTCTACTTTTTATTACTGAAAAAACACTTAATCTCCCGCCTCGAGATGAGGCTGCTGGTGTAGTGTGTAAGGTGCATTTGTAGATGCAACTACTATGTATTCTTCAAATAATATTTTGTATGCTTGCATAATATTGGCAAATTATTTTTAATCAGCGAAATATGTTCTAAAAATTCTTATAAACCAATTTCTTTATACTTAGGATTAATTATTATGACTAAACCTAAAAAATAGGCAATGGATCAAAATATTTATCAAAAATTTCTTTCATTTAAGTAATAATGGTTACATAATATTTATTACCCATATATTTTACGAAAATTTAATTATTTTTGTTAACATATGTAAAACAAATGGTGAAATAGGAATATATGTAAGAAACAGTATCAAAAACTTTTAAAAAAATCTTTATACAAGGTTACTTGGCGCCAATTAAATTTTGTGGGAGTCAGTACTCCCCTTATTGATATCATTGCAAAAAATAAACCTATTGTTTTTCTTTGTTTGCAAACTCTTTTTAACATATTATACGTTGAATTTCACCTACTGTCTATATCTAAAATTAATTTTTTAAATAATATACCTTCTCGTTGACAAATTTTCTTATATTCTGAAATTCGATTAGCAGAATATATAATAGTAACAACCACATTTTTTATTACCAGTACAGAAGTCTCGTATACATGTATAGCTTCTTTAATAATAAAGTTTAAAATATGGATACAATAACGAATATAAAATAAATCACTATCAACAAATAATTCTAAAGTTGATTTCAAATGGGTTACAGTCTAATTGTAATATGTTACATTATCTAAACTAAAGGTAAATATTTTATTTTTCAAAGCCCACTCATATAATAGATTTATTATTTCTACATCAAGTGAATGATCAGTGTATAGAAATTCAACAAATCTAAACGAAATAATTCTTTTATTTAATTTTCAATCATTATTAATAAAATGTATAGTGATAGATTGATATTCTAAATCATTATTTGACCACAGATCAAATGTTAAACAAACTTTTCCATTCAATTTTTTAAATATGTCAAATAATTCACTTTTAATATCCTCAAATTTTTTTAAAATCCTATTTTTAGTAATATTTTTTGAAAAACTTTAATATTGCGATGTAAAATTTCCGTGATTCATTAGAGCAAAATCGGAACATTCAATAGTAGAGAAAGATTATTCTTTTTTAATAACATAATCAACTACAAAATTTTGTGCATGTATAGGATCATATGAAAATGTTTGCAAATGATCAGTTGATGAAACTCCTAATTGCATTTTACTTCTAATATCAGGTTGTTGACATAGTAAATGCCTGTTAACATGCCTTTTTAATGACTAGTATCCCCTGCAGATGCAACACTAAGTAAATGTGTACAATATTTATATTTTGCTTTAAATGTAATTATACCATCAGAATTATTTATAGATATTTTTTTCGAAATGTTCACAAACACCACTAGTTGTGCCCCTAGATGATGATCCAACTGTTGGAAGAGGGATATTAGCTGCATTAGAATGAGAATCAACAGATTCATGTTGTATAATATATGTATTAATATCGACATAAGTATTAGGAATATTAAGATCTATAGTAATGTAAGTAAAATAATATATAAGAACTAACAAATAATTTAAATAATGAGTAACAATAATAAGTAAACAATAACAACTAATATATGTTAAGAAATAATTAATATAAAAAATGAGTAACTAATAAATTTCATTAAACTAATTAATGCTACTGACTGGTGGATACGATACAAAAATTAGTTTATTCTAATAAAAGTTTCTTCTTGCACAATTACAATTGTCACTTAGGGATGTGATTTCAAAATTAATTGAAAGAGTTGAGAGAGATTGAGGCTTCGTTTGGTTTGCCTTTGGAATCATGATTCCAAAGGCAAAATTTTTAAAACACTTTTCAAAATTCAAGACCAAATGACCAAATACATAACTCAAAATTACACAAAACTCAATTCAAAAATTAATTTCAAAACTAATAACCAAACACGAAATACAAAACTCTTTTGATGATATAGTGTTGAAAATGGTTAGTGATGGGATTCTTAAATTATTTTTATAAAAAATCTAAAAAAAATAATTTCTAAATTTAAAAAATATCTAAAGAAAATATATTTCAAATAACAGCTTGCAATTGAAAAAAAAAAAATCACCGTTCCAGTCAACCAGGAATAAGATCGGCTGGACGTCCGGGAGGATGTCTGGGCGGATGACCTGGTAGATCCAATCCGCTCTTTTCAAAATTAAAAATTCAAAAACTCCTTTCAAAATACTTTTCCAAACTCATAACCAAACAAATTTTCTCTTTTCAAATCTCAACTCACAATTCCACACTCAATTCACAACTCCAGAAAGAGAATCACAATTTCAAAACTAAACCAAACGCAGCCTAAGAGTTTGAGAGAGAGAATTGTTTGTGAGATTTATTTTGAATGATGAAAGATATTTATAGGAGCTTGAGAGGATGAGATAAATTTGCAAATAATAAAAAAATTGGGTCGTTGTTTTAACCGGTCATGTGACCGTTTGAATTATTTTTATTTTTTATTTTTACTGTTAGTCTGCAGTAGCAGACATTTAAATTATTATTATTTTATTCCGTTGGCATGGAACAGCGCAACGCATCAATCAACGCAATGAAATGACTATTTATTTATTTATCGTTGCAAGCTATAACAAATTTTTTTTTTTTAATTTTGATTGTTGGTAGTCTGGCAGAGAAGAGGGGAGTGGGTGGGCTGCTAGGTCAGGACATAAAAATATTTTGAGTCAGGTTTCAAAATGACAGCTCAGACCCAAATCTAGATCCAAGGTCCTAGACTGAACTTGGGCCCAAATCTAACTGGCTCAGGTCTACCTCAGACTATGGATGAATTTCGAGCAGTCCACAAATCTCGAGTCATTTTTACACCCTTATCCCTGAGTGAGGATCATTAGTTGCCATTTCCTACGGCTCTCTTTGTAGCCCTCGCCAAAACGACATCGTTTTGTTCAGTGTGTTTTTTTTTTCTTTCCAAAATTTGAGTTTTTCGTTTTTTTTTCACTTCCATTTTTTTCTATCATCTCATCCATTTAAGTTTGTTTAGTCCTCACAGATACAAAGACGAGAGAGAAAGACGTTAAACAAAGAGAGAAAGAGAGAGATGTAGAGAAAAACGAACTGAGAGAGATGGTGAAGGGACACGACGATGACAGTAAAGGACAAAGGATGGTGGAGGGACACAACAGTGGAGGGGCGCGACGCGACAATCACCGCCCCTTTCACTTTCTTCCTCACCACACCCTCTTCGTTTCCCACAAAATTAGTCCTTTCAACCCTCGCAATGCTTGTAGAGGCAATGTCGAGTGTGCTCTGTTCAATCCCAAGCAAAACAATAATACCTAGAAGCAGAAGATTGAGTTTCAGTAACCCAATCACCCACATCCATTGATTTTGTGTGATAAGGATGAAAACTTGATTTATACTTGCAGTTCCTATGATGACTGTTGACGGGGATTGAGTTTATGTTTGTTTACAATATAAGACTTTGCTTCACATTTCATGTGCAAAGTTACCCATTGAAATTGAGCGCCTATTTCACTCCCCTCGCCTCTCCGTTCGCCTTTCTCAAAAAAGTAACGGTTCAAAAAACGAAAAGAAACTGATAAGTAGAGCAAGAAGGAGATAAAAAAAATAAATAAATCAAAACACATCATTTTAACAGGCCACGGAAGCAGCCGCAGAAAAAAAAACGGCAGATGATTTGGACACCCTCATCCCTGGCATGAAGACCTAAACGCTTCTCAAAAGAAAAGGATATTTTGGTCAGAAAATGAATCACAAATATCATTCACACACGTGTCAACTCGTTATCTGGTGCAGATAAGAGGCCATCGTTCTCCGAAGTTACAAGATAATCAATCTCTTATCCACCGTCGATCGTTCCACTCTTCCCAATCCAAACCGTCGGATCTCACCAAAACCAATTTTACCTCCAATCTTCATCAATTCAAAGCACTATAATTCTCTCTCAATCGCTCTCGCTCTCGCCGGTAACAATGGCCGCTCTGCAACAAACTCCGATCACATTCCAGTCCAGATCGCCACCGTCGACTCAAATCACCGCCAAATTCAATCCTCTCAAGCCTCTAAACCTCTCGTTCTCCGGCGGTTTCTCCTCCCTCAAAATCCCCAACCTCACCGTCAAACTCTCCGGCAAAGGCGGCGGCGCCGCAGGAGCCAAGATGGCCGACAGCGCCGCCGGAAGCTACGCCTCCGCGCTCGCCGAAGTCGCGAAGTCGAACGGAACCCTAGAAGCTACCTCCGCCGACATGGACAAGATTGACAAGCTCTTCTCCGACCCTCAGGTCTACAAGTTCTTCGTAAACCCTACCATCGACCTCGAGAAGAAGCGGAAAGTGATCGACGACATCGTATCGACATCGAGTCTCCAGCCTCACACGGCGAATTTCGTCAACATCCTGATCGATATGAAGCGAATCGAGCTGGTGAAGGAGATAGTGAAGGAGTTCGAGGTGGTTTACAACAAATTGACTGATACGGAGCTTGCGATTGTGACTTCGGTGGTGAAATTGGAGTCGCAGCACTTGGCGCAGATCGCGAAGGGAGTTCAGAAATTGACGGGAGCGAAGAACGTGAGGATCAAGACGGTGATCGATCCATCGTTGGTGGCTGGATTCACGATCAGGTATGGGAAAGATGGATCGAAGTTGATTGATATGAGTGTGAAGAAGCAGCTTGAAGACATTGCTGCTCAGCTCGATATCGGAGATGTTCAACTCGCAGTATGAGTTCTCAGAGATTTTTTTTTCTTTTTTTTTTTTGGGATTTGGGGGTTTATTAATGTATTTTGTTTTTAATTAATTTACATTTTGTTTCCAATTTATATTTTGAGCAATTGGGATGTTTCCATGAATGTTTTGGATGATTTCAAAATTAATTGGTAAATTTTGTGCGAAAATTATGGTTGTCTAATGCTATGTTTGGTTGAGGGATTTGAGGAGGAATTTGAAAAGGAAAATGAAAAAAGGTACATAAAATGTGAATAAAATATACCTATATTTTACTTAGTTTCACACACTTTTTTCCTTTTCCTTTTCAAATTCTTCTCCAAATCCTCTAACCAAACACAGCACAAGTTTAATTCCGTCGACTGTGGTGGCGGCGATATTTTTATTTTATTTTATTTTACATTTCGATAGTGAAATTTTACTTTCAACTAAATAAAATTCCACCCACAAATGTAAATCCAAATCAATTTCCCTTCTATTTTTGTTTTAAAAACAAGTTCGAATATTGCCAATTTCAATTCTATTATGGTAAGAATGTTGCAGTCTTTGAGATTCAAATGTCAATATTCACTTATCTTATCTTGAAAAAACCCACATCATTTTCATTTCTTGAATGGAATGGAAATCTCCATTTCATTAATTGAAGAGTTAGCCCATTATTACAATTGAATATCACCGGTCAATATGGATCTAAATCCCTCAAATGCAAAAACTACATCGTTTTGGGTAATTGAGTATCCATGAACCATGATATTACTATAGTTGATCTACCCAAAGCCTTGTGGCATGCTTTAGAGGTAGAATTATCTAGTATTGATAAGAGTTTTAATAGGTGCTTCAAAACATCTTGATCATGTTAGTTTCTTTATTAGTCTTTTTGCTCATCTTGTACGATTAAACCATATTTACCTACTTTCGTTGATCTTTGTTGAACCAATTTTTTCAATATCAATTTCCTTCAATGGTCACATTTCTAACAGATGAATACAATAACATCAAAGGAAAATAACCACACCTGGATCCCAATGTTAGCTTCAAATATTTTCTTCACGTGGGTTTTGTTTTGAAAATACATTTTCATTATAGGGAATGAGTGGGACTCATGTTTAAATGAGTCATCAAATTAGGGCTTGAAATATCTCAAGTGGAAGTGTGAATTCAAGGTTGAAGAAGATGAGTTCATCGCTACACTTTTGAATTTGTCAAAAATTATTGTTTCTTTAGTATTAAATTAAAGTAAAAAATGTGACAATTATAAATAGTAAAAAATTGATCACATACTGAAGTATTGACACATAATTAAAAAATAAATAGAAGATACCTAGCATTCATAGGACTGAAGAAGGTCTAAATCCAATCTCGAATAGTATTGGAGCTATAGAGAACTCCACAAAAATAGATATAGTTCATTCATTTGTCCCTTATGGTTCATTCCTTTGTCCCTTGCCCTTCAATTATGAGCCTCTCAATTCTACCAAAATATCAATAGAAGAGTTGATATATATTGGTAGGGTTGAGTGAAACAATTAGATTGATAATTATGAATTTAAACAGTCAAATGGGGTCAAAAACTACTCCAATCATTTATAAAAACCGCTCCAAGCAGTTACAGCATGAGTCGGCTTCGTCTACATCACTATAACTATTTTTTGCTTTATAATGGTATAAAAGATATATGTGTTGTATAGGGAGGAAATGTTCGTCGCTGTCCGTACTCTTTTCGTTGAAGCTCCGAATCTATTCAATCAACCTAAGAACACAACGGTGGTGAGCTACCCGGCGGTGTGTTACCGGAAAACCCCTCCGACGATTAAGTTAGCACACACTCAGGGAGAGAGAGAGAGAGAGAGAAGCCGAATGAATGTAAGTTTATCTCACCAAATGATGTTCCATCCCCAACATGGGAGGCGCAGTCATACTTATATACTTTCTGCGCTCAACTCTGTACCCATTAGTCTCTTGACACGTGGAGCTGCTCTTCCATCTGTCAGCATAAATCCAGTGAACACCACCTAACCAAACCGCCAGACAACATTAGTGGGAACTCGACAGCCCGGCGGCATCACCTCGGCCTCACACGACGGTGCTGCGTAATGAGTCCGAGTGCTCTACTTGCCGAGCTCCATAACAACCGAGCTCAGTAACATTCCGGCAAAACCGAGTTCAAGACAGGTCGAGCCAGTAAACAGAAGGCCTTTCCTGCCGAGCTAAATATGCGAACCATGGAACCCGGGTTGGCAGGCGATCATCTCGACCAAGTAAGCTCGGCCCAGACGCGAGACCTGATCCTTGGCCGAGCAAAACCGACACTAGACATAGACAAGCCCAAGTAACCCGGTCCAAACATGGTCTTGGGCCTCGACCGGGTAAAACCACCTCTGGACAAGCCCAAGTTAGCTCGGCCCAAACACACTCGGCCCTCATTTTGCCCGGCTTCTACCACGGCCCAAGCCAGCCTATAAATCTCCCTTTCAATTGCCCTTTAATTCCATCCGCAAAAGCGTGACTGGGATTACATGATCCGACCGGGGTAGATTCTCCGCTGGTCTTTCCTCCGCAAGACGTTAACCGCGCGAATCCCCACGCTCAGTTTCTAGACTTGCTCAGTCGATGCCTTAACTTGCCATCTTGTCTCTTCAGTACTGGCGCCGCCACCGCCATTATGGACACGCATCCATCACTTATTGGCCTCGAGTAGCCAACCCAGCTGTAGACACTCCATTTTGACCGGCCCTAAGACTTGGGCGCTTTCTTTTGATTACCTGATGACAACAATTAGAATGTGTTTCTCACAAAATTCTCAGTAAGAAAGATGGAATTTAAGTTTTAATCCCAACCTTCACCCATTTTTTGGCCAAACTTTTTTTACCTTAAAACCCTCTTTTCAAAATATGTTTTTTTTAAATGTTTCTACAATGTCCCAAGGCTCTCATTTCGATTAAAATATTGCATTTTTTAGTAAACCGAGTAAGGACAAAGTGGAAATAAATGGAAGTGAGGTGAAATTTTTTGAAAAATATTTAAAAACATCTTCTTTATAGGTTTGGAGTTGAAGGAAATAGGAGGGGATGAAAGAAAACTGGTTTAGGAAAAGAATGAGTATCAAATCATTAAGAAGGAAATGAGCAGCCTTCACTAAATTAGGCATTTCTCTTTGTACACTTGGAATTTAAATGTGAGGCAACCACCATTGGAAATTAGACTTCCGGGGCTTCAATTTAGACCTAAGAACCACCTTAAACCAAGTCTAAATAAGGGAGATATGCCCATTTGAAGTTGGGCTTATGAGCAGATTTTGTTGACCCAGCCTGAGACAGTCTTCACTAAACTAGGCATATCTCTTTGTACACTTAGAATTTAAATGTGAGGCCACCACCATTGGAAAGTAAACTTCTGAGGCTTCAATTTGGACCCAAGAACCGCCTAAAACCAAGTCCATATGGGGGAGATATACCCATTTGAAGTTGGGCTTAAAAGCAGATTTTGTTGACTCAAACAAAAACAACAATAGCCCATTTTTCTTGGTTTTGGTTCGGTTGGGACAACCCATTTACCTATTTTCTGAGCCATTCAAGTGCATCCACTCATCCTCCATTATACCTAATCATCCCCCATTGTCAAAAAGAGGTTTTGTTTGCATCCATAAAGGAGTATCCCATGCAACCACCTTGAAAATTTGCCCTCCTATCACATTCTTGTCCCCACCTTGTCTCCCACTTTGTTTTTGACCTTTAATCTCCCTCATTGCCTATATAGAATGATCATATTATAAGAGAGAAGGAGGACCACGAAATTGAAGAGAAATGAGTGAAAAAAGACAAAAAAATTGAGTTTTTGAGCAAAAAATATTTCTATCTTCCATATACACTCCATACCTTCCATAGCTACTGAAATTCCTCATTTCCATACACCAAAACCACTCCAAAAATTCTGATATAGCCAAAGATCAATTTCCTTGATCATAAGGAAGAGTGTTTAGTGATTGAAAATGAGAAAAACTAAAAAGTTAGCCACTTTCTATACCACAAACTCCATAAGCTCCATAATTTCAAATTGAGGATTTGAGAACACACTTCCTACACTTGAGGGTGATCAAGAGGAAGTTTGGAAATCAAGAAGTTCAATCTTTCTTTGGAAGGTGAATTGTTAGTCTTTCATTTTCTTATATTTTATATCCTATATTTATTTTCTTGTTTCTTATTTCATTGTGTTTTGTTATAATTTAAGTAGTTTGTTTATCTCATATTTATTTTCTTACTTTATATTTCATAGTGTGTTGTTATAATCCTAGTGGTTTGTTTAGCTCATAATTATTTATTTATTTATTTATTTTTATTCGTATGCTTTAATTTTATATTAGTTTTGTTGTAATCTTACATGTTCTACCTCATTTTTTTTTTCCCGTGTATTAGTCTCATATTAGTTCTGTTGTAATCTTGCATGTTCTATCTTATATTTGTTTTATTGCTTTAGGTTTATGTTGTGAGTTTGCACTTTTTATTTTATTTTATATTTGTTTTCTTGTTTTTTTTAATCTAACCGGTAGTGGTTAGTTGAGCCACCTTTTTTTTTTGTTTGTTCCTTTTCTTGGTTTCGCAACAAGACAGGTTTTGCTTGGCCTAGTTGGCTGGCCGGTTAACTTCTTCCGAACAAGATGGCGTAATCTCCCAATATTGACCAATTTCTGCCGGCGGTTCTAAAGAACATGAAGCTTTTATTTTATTTATTTTTTATTTTGAGTGTATTGTGAGGTTTTTATTTTGTTGTAATATTCTCCTTATCCCTCTCTAATCTGATTTGTAATTATTCTTTAAAATGTTGTAATAATTCCCCGCCCCGCTTCTTTCTATCCCGTTTTTTTATTTGCTTTCTTTATTTGTACATAAACATCATATTTATTTTTCATCATAGTTATGCTTTGTATCCATGTTTCATGCATCTTGATTCGGCTAAGTTTGCATTTGTGGATTTAATCAATTCCTATGTGATTATGTGCGCTACCTCATGTTCTTGAGATAATTCACATATCATATTTTAGAAGTCGAATCTTTAGTTGCATCTCATGAGTGAATTGCATTAGGATTTTGTATATAAGATCATGCATATTTTACTAACTTTGTTTTGTAGCTTGTTCGTGGGACGTCTAACATGTAAGTTTTTATGCTT